TTTTATCACCAAATTTCAATATAAACTACTACGTTTCTGCTGCAGTACGATAAAAAAATATAAAACAAATGAATAAATATTTATATCTACTACATGAAAATTGATGAATACATATGTTTATTTGCTTATATTTTAAATTCGTTTTCAACGTTTTATTTTCTGCTTATGTTTTTTTGAACTTGAAAAATAGCAACAACATTTTTTACTTTTTTTAACATTATAATTTTAGGAAGTGGAAGAAACCGATGGTGGTGAAGTAGATGATGGTAATCCAACTGGTGAGGGAGATTTTGATGGTTTATTAGGTGGACTTGGTGAAGCAGAAGGTGAAGCAGAAGCTGAAGCTGAAGCAGAAGCTGAGGCAGAAGCTGAGGCAGAAGCTGAAGGAGGAGAAGGAGAAGGAGATGACGAAGCACCAGTAGAAACTGAACTTTTGGAAGTTAAGGAAGGAGATCCTGCCTCTCCAGGAAATGCACCACAAGGAACCCCTGAATTAGGAGCTGCAGCACCTGCTGAAGTTAGTGCGGCCGCAAAATCTGCTGCAGGAGGACCATCTGCAATACCCCCTTCCCCACCAGCACCAAAAATAAAGGACTGGAATAAATGGATGAAGCAAGCTAAGAAAGAATTTTCAGGATACAAGGGTAGCATGCACACGCAAAGACATGAATGGAAAAAAGAGAAAGAAGATGAACTTCAAAAATTCTGTAAATACTTGGAAAAGAGATGGATGACTTATACAGGAAATATTGATAGAGACTGTAAATCCGATTTCTTGAAATCAACTAAAAATTGGGGTGATCGCCAATGGCAATCTTGGGTTAACAAAGATGGAAAACACCACATGTATAAACAATTCCAAAAATGGTTAGATTACAATAAAGACAAATTACAAGACTGGAACACTAGTGAATGGAACAAATGGAAAGCAAATGTTAAAGGACAACTTGATGTTGAAGAATGGAAAAAAAAAGAAGCATCTGGAAAAACCAAAGAATGGATAAAATGTACCGACAAGATGGAAAAAAAATGTTTAAAAAAAACAGAAAAAGACTGCAAAAAATGGGAAAAAAATGCAGCTAATTCATTTAAAAAATGGGAAAAAGATTTCACCAAAAAATGGACAGAAAACAAGCAATGGAATGCATGGTGTAAAGAATTAGAAAACTAAATTTTATAAAGAAGAAAATTTACAGAAAAAAAAGTTATAAGAAAAAAAAAAAAAAAAAAAATGTAAATTATGTGCTTTAAAATTTTCATTGTTAGTCAGATGAAGACATTTTATTTTTTTATGAACACATGTCTTCTGTTTTTAATTATTAACATTATAATTTAGAACAATTCAAGAAAGAGAAAATAAACGAATATATAAAATTGAAATGACAAACTAACAGAAAAGGATTTAATTTTTTTTTTTTTTTTTTACATAAAATTTAGATTATTTAATTATATTTATTTTACAAAAGGGAAATTATTATATGTTGTAATCAAAATACCAAAGTAGAAAAGCATACTGAAAACACCAAGAATATAAGTAAAAATTTTTTGTTTATGTGGAAATAAATTATAACATTTTTACTATTTAAAGTGAAAAAAATGTATTTCCCTATAATATATATGCTTATAACAAATAAAATTTGAAAATCCTCATTTGAAATTATATTTTTTGCATCACATATTCCTTATTAAAACAATTTAGAATGTGATTTACATACAATATTTTGATATGTATATACATATATATGTATATTTGCATGTATGTATATATATACATATATATTTTTTAA